CTTCTAGAAAAGAATGACAACAATACATTCCACAATCCTACTCCTGTCTATTCCCCCCTCCCATCGACTATACTATTGAAACCGCATAATGAAATAAGAGAAAGTGTGGCAGGCCAAAATTCTAAAAGAAATATAATTGCAGGCCTGACACATATGTGCAAGGGGAACCTTTAGCTTTACCTTATGGAATACTGGGGAAAGGAGATCTCACTTCCCGTTGACTTGGACTGAAAACAGAATGGAAGAGATCCCCAGATCTGTACTTATTTTATCATAAGAAGTGGAGGATAGGCGGGTCGGATCTGCACAGGAGAAGAATTCCTAATTCTCCCAATCCTGGACTTGCTTCTGCAATTCACATTTCTCCTGCAATTTCCTTTCCCCCCTGTCCCCAGTCATTTTAGTTCAGTTTCCCACACCTTTGTTCAATTGCTGGAAACAAATTTAGCACATGAGATACTGAACAATTCATCTTACAAATTGTATTTATTTAAAAAAATATTTTTATAATACATATTATAACTATCATGCATTCTTAAAAGGGGCTTCCATCAATGAAACAAGGTTTGCATGTCCTTAATATTGCATATACATGACTGTAATTTTTTCATTTGTATTAAGAATTATATTAAACAGACAAATCTAATACAAGAACCTAATGCAAAATCACATTTATGAAAAGAAACAGAAAAATATTAAAAACAGAAAAAATGCTCCTGAAAGGAAGTAGTAAGAAAAAGTTACTCCCTCATTCATTTCCAGCAAATATATCCAACATTATTAACTTAACACTGTCTCTTAAAATATAGCCAAATACATCTTCATTTCATACCTCACCCTGTTTTTAATAAACTCATCTGTAAATCTTCAGTTATTCTTATTAATCAAAAACGGTCCAGTAAAAATTAGCAGAAATACCTAAAAGCATTATATAGTCCCCATTTCCATTTAATTTAATCCCCCACATCCTTCTCTTTAATAATCAGAATCGAATCTCGACTAACAAAAAATTGCAAAAAAAATTAAAAATCAGAATTTTTAGCCTCTTTTTTGAGGGAAGAAGGTGCATCTTATACTCTGAAAAATACAGTATTTAATATTACCAGAAATTGTAAAACCCTAATTTCCATATCAAAAATAATAATGTAGATATTGCAAACTAATCCATTACACCTAAGCATCCTCCCCCCCCCAAAAAAAAACTCCAGTCCGATCAAGATAACCATTAAGCATCACCAGAGATGGCAATTCATTTATCCATACTCAAATAAACCAATTTTTAATATTTTTTTCTCCTTCCAACTGCCCATTCTTAGGTATCATAGATAAAATTCTGTTTTCTTGAACTATTTTTACCTGTTATTTTGAAATTCTTGTCATCTTTATCCAAGTCCATTTATAATTTCCATATCATAATTCCAGTAGGTCTCATATATTTTAATTTAAAAGAGATCGCTCTTTTGATATATTATTTGTACATCTTTTAAAATTCATATATGATCATCCAATTTCATTTCTAAGTCTAATATTTCCATCTCTTTTTTATTTTTATAAGCTATAATTTTAAGTCCCTTGTAAGATCCAGTTTGGTTATTTTCAAAGGAACTTGTTTTGTCTTTCTAGAACTTTTGGTTCCGTTATAGAGTTAAAAACCTCAAGTACATCTTGAATCCACAGAACAAACATTTCTTTTAAAGTAGCCATTGTCTGCTCTCTATTCATCAACCTTCAATCCCATATTCAGCTTGAAATTTAAACAAGACAATTTTTTCCCATGCCAGAGGATTTTTCCAATTATCTTCAAAGTCTTTCCTTAAATCAATTTCCTCCAAAGCCTTAGTATTTAAAATCCTGCCAAAACCAACTTGATAATCACCCCCTTTCCTGTGTATTGCAAAAAACAGCAAAAGTTAAAAATCTTACAAAGCTGGAAACACATTTTTTTTCTTTTTTAAAAGGATCAAAGAGAAATCACCCAATGACTGGCAAACTTGCAGTTCCAATTTTTTTTAAATCTCTGATTGAAACAATAAAGAGGGGTGAAAGCTCCAAAGTGATTTTAAAAAATAGGTTTAGTTGAGCCTTGAGTCCATGAAAGGCTGCATTTATAGCTCAGAGCATGGTGAAAACTGTGACTCCCAGCTGATTGCAAACAGCTGCAAAAGCACTGTTTCTGCCATCTACTCACTAAAAACAGTTGTTCGGAGTACATATGGGTAATCTCCAGATCTCTTTTGATGAGAAACCATTGATGAGCACAATTCTAAAAACAAGCAACATGCCCATTTCACCTGTCAAGCCATCCAGCGCACATTTCATTGATTTGGTCATCAGAATCCCATGGAACAGTTAATAAAATCTTTTGCTAGAAGTAAGACTTACTACTTATCCCTGTTTAAACTGCCTGCTAAACAAGTTAGCTAATCACAAACTAAAAAGCTAATTTGGCAAGATAACTTGTTACATGGACATTCTTCAAAATTTATTTCTGAAAAGGATGACAAACCATGGGGAAATTATTGAATAGTTGGGGAGCTAGCAGATTAATAGCACATAATCGATTGCATTTAAATTAAATTAGATTTATCCTTTGACGTAGACCAGCCTCATTTATTCGTTCTGCCCTTTACGTGTTTGGAGAACAATCCATAGCATACCACTCAAAGCCTGAGTATGATCTTGTCTACACAAACTTTGGTGCACGGGGGCCTAAGTGCAAATAATAAAAAGAATTTGAATTTAGATTTCAATTGTCAACTGTCCTGATGCAGTTTTTGGAAAGTGCATTTGACAAGGAAAAACCTCTGGTTTTATTCTTAGTGTGAATTGTAGTACTTGCCCGACTTGAAGAGAGAGAGAGAAAAAAAAACCTTTAATAAGCGAATTTCACAAGTACTTGAAAATGAAATGAGCTTAGAAATTAAATGCATCATACAATTTGGGTAAAATATGTTTCTGTATTGGTTGTTCTTAGTAGCTACTAGAGTGCAGGCTAGTAGCAAATAATCAAGCTGATGAAGATTGGGCACCTTGAAAGAACCTGGGATGGAAAATAGAAACTGGAATTCCTGGCCTTTTTCATTCTGACTGTGTTCACCATTCCAGCTGTCCAAACGTTGGAAGGACAGTGACCGTGAGGATTTCTTAGATGACTTTGGTTCTGACCACGAAGCTGGAATAAAACCGCAACGGCTGCTTTCTCCCCCAGACCAGCAGGTAAGTGGTTTAGAAGTGGAAGTTACGGTAACTAATTCACGGTAAGGTTCTGCTCCCTTGCCTCCATAGAGCAAAGCTAGCTGAATATCTTTTCTATAGGGATTTGATCATCCCCTTTTTTTCAATTTATGAAAAGGGCCAGCAGCATTATCAATTCTGCTCACTTCCACTTGTTTGCTCTTTGACTGGTACACAAAAAAGGGAGCTCGAGATCTTCTGGCAGACGGTTGGATGATTTGTAGTAGGCCAACAATAAAACCTGACTCCAGATTGTTTGAGAACGTATAGAGTTGCCATGACAATCATAATTGCCGCCTGTATACCCACTCGTATACAGTAATACTTACATTGTTAGGATACGTGAAGGGAAGTGACTCAGATGTATATGGAGTTTTGAGTATCTGAGGTCACCCCAGTGGTGTATAGATCATAGGATGCAGCGGGGAATTGATTATCTCCCAAAGCACAATTTCCCATCTGCCTTAACTAAATGCAAAATAGATCGTGGAAGACTAAAATGGGCCCAGAGCTGCATTAATTTCAGCCAAGGACTTGCCTAATGGACTCTTTTTGTCATTCATCTCTTTTTGCTGCGAGATGAAAGGGGCAGAGAAGCCTTTGTAGTCAAGAGAGGAGATGAATACGGAGAAAGCCACGGCAATGCTTTTGTGGTTGTCCATAGCTTGGTAAAGGGAGTTAAATCTTTCATCCATTTTCCAGTTAATTGGGAATGTACAACTGATCCCTCAAGCCTTTGCCAAATTCAAATCTCAGAGTTTAGCTACAAGGGGTCTGTAAGGCTGGCATAAAAGTTTCAGATAGGAAATTCCGGGCCAAAATCTAGCACAGATTTCCCTGAATGGTGCCCTCTCCCTCTTCTCCTTAGGAGGAACCACTGCAAGAAAAGCCTCCTGGGGATGCAGCCACACCTCTGACTAACAGCCAGGAACTGGACAGTGGAGTTGGCCGGACAGATGAAAGTACCCGCAACGAGGAGAGCTCTGAACATGACCTGCTAGGAGATGAAGCGCCCAGTGCCGCCAACACACCAGGCAGCCTGCGTAAATTTGGACCTAGCCTCCAGCCTCGGGACTTCCATTATAGCATGGACTCCCTCCTGGCAGGGGAGCTTCCTAGTGCTGTGGGCACAGACCTGATGCCAGGACTTACCGATGAAGAGTACGAACGTTACCGCGAGCTGCTAGAGCTCAAGTGTCATCTAGAGAATGGCAATGAACCAGGGCTAGTGAACGCTGCCCTGGATGTCAACCGCAACGAGGTGGCTCTGCTGGAGGAGGAGCTCCGCCACCTGGAGTTTAAGTGCCGCAACATCTTGCGAGCACAGAAGATGCAACAGCTCCGCGAACGCTGCATGAAGGCCTGGCTGCTTGAGGAGGAAGGGCTGTATACTTTGGAAGGGGAACCCAAGAAGCACGAACTGTCCGACATCACTGAACTGCCGGAACGCTCAGATAAGGACAGCACGAGTGCCTACAACACTGGAGAAAGTTGTCGAAGCACCCCCTTACTGGAAAGCCCCTTGCGTCGCTTGGCCGAGACCCCCAATCTCAACCGCACAGCTCCTCCTTCCCCGCCACACCCTAAGTTCCGCCGGGAAGAGCGGGTGCGGCGCAGCGCCAAGGCAACTGGGGAAAGCAGTCCTTATTTGAGTCGACGTCAGCGGGAAGAGCTACCTGCTCCCATCAGCCCTATGAGCTTAGCCAGCATTTGCAAAGACTCGCTTGGGAGCAAAGCAGAACCCCGCATGGAGTGGAAAGTGAAGGTCCGTAGTGATGGCACTCGCTACGTGGCCAAGAGACCGGTGAGGGACCGGCTGCTCAAAGCCAGGGCCATGAAGATCCGCGAGGAACGCAGCGGCATGACCACAGATGACGACGCGGTCAGTGAGATGAAGATGGGACGTTACTGGAGCAAGGAGGAACGGAAGCAGCACTTGATCCGAGCCCGCGAGCAACGGAAACGCCGCGAGTTTATGATGCAGAGCCGGCTGGAGTGCTTGAGGGAAAGGGAAGGAAGCGAAGCTAGAGGGGTTTCTGGTGAGGTCAACATCTTGGCCCTGAGCCACCGTAAAACCATGAAGAAACGGAGCCGACGTATCTTGGACAACTGGATTACCATCCAAGAAATGTTGGCTCACGGCACTCGCTCAGCAGATGGCCGCAGAGTTTACAACCCACTGCTTTCAGTCACTACTGTTTGAGTGTGTAAGAAAGGACACGAGGGAAGCTGCACCATTGTCTCCTGGCCAGACTGGAGAAAGTAGAATAAACACAGCTGTTTCCTCCTTGATTAATAGGACGATTGCTCTTTGAACATACTTGGGACCTTTTACTATTTGTACTCCGTGGGCTCAAAGAGCCCTCTTCTCTACACCAAATTTAGAGTGTGACAAAGCCCAGCATCCCTTCCTGCCTTAAGAACCAGGGGGCGAAATAGGCCACCAAGCCTGCTATCATCGGGAGCCTGCTAGGGAGTGAAGTCTGTTTTCCTGATGTGTGCACCATCTATATTGAAGGTAACTGTGCAAGTCTCTTGTCCCCTCTCACTTACGGGAAAGCTTTTGCCAAGCTTGGTCCACGCCAATCCCATCCTGAAGCACAAAGAACCGATTCTCATCTACAGACACTGTGCAGAGCACAAGAAAAGGAGGCTCATCCCCCATCAACAGGACCAATGAACCCTTCCTGTCTTCCCAAATTGGGATGTTGTGACATCTTTCTTCTTTCTCTCTTTCCTCTTTTGTGATTGTGATTTTACATTTTTTAAATTTCTCCCAGGATGGAGGTCCGAGCCCTGGAGGCTCAATCCACAAGTGACCCAAGTGCTCCCTTCCTGCATTTTCTACCATGTCACTGCCCTTCATTCCCAGCTCAGGAAGAGGCAGTAGCTTAGCATAGGGAGGTTTTGCAATGGAAAGCTTGTAGCAAACCTTGTACCTGAGGCTGAAATTGCATTGTTACAATAAAAAGAATTAAAAAAAAACGTTTTTATTCATTGAAACCAAGTTACACAAATTGGCAGCATAAATACTTTTAAAACTGGTGCTGGCTGTGTAAAATTAGTTAGCAATAGCAATAGCAGTTAGACTTATATACCGCTTCATAGGGCTTTCAGCCCTCTCTAAGCCGTTTACAAAGTCAGCATATTGCCCCAAACAATTTGGGTCCTCATTTCACTCACCTTGGAAGGATGGAAGGCTGAGTCAACCCTGAGCTGGTGAGATTTGAACAACCGAACTGCAGTCAGCTGAAGTAGCCTGCAGTGCTGCATTTAACCACTGCGCCATCTACTTAAGCTGTTCATGCTGTAGAACATTTCTAATATACAGTAAGCACGTATGTGGAAAGCCAGCATTGCCAATGGGCGTTTGTGGGAAGGCAGATGGTACCATAAAAGCAACAGGAATGAAAAGGGATGAAAATGTTAGTACGGAGTACACAGCAGCTAACTTGTATAGCAAGCTTAGTTAACTGAAGCTCCATTTATGGAATTAATCCATTTTTCCAAGTTTACATGACAAGCTGACTCATAAAGTAACCCCAAAATTATTAGGGTACAATGTGACTCCAGCCAATGGCTAGGTTTACCGATTGCATTCTGTCAAGTTGAGCAACCTGAAGTTTCCCAGTTGCAAGCTCTCTTCCCCATCAAAAACAGGGAAAATATGGAAAATCTTATGTCTTTTTCAGGTGTTCTGACTTCCACCTACTTAATATCATTACCACCAATGTCTACCCAAATGCATTGTGATTCGCAAACCAGCAAAGGATTGCTTGCCTCGCAATAATTGCTCAACCCATTTTATTTAATAAAGCTTTATGAGATTATGAATCTCGTTTTATTAAATAAACATGGGTTGAGCAATTAATGTGAGGCAAGCAACCTTTTAAAATTACAAGCAATGTTTTTTTTAAAATTACATTAAGATGTGATTCAGAATTCATGGACTGTAAGTGGTTAAGTTCAGAGTTTACATTAAGCCAAATAATATCTTAGGATATGTAATGTGTGAATTGGGTCACTTCTGAGACATACTAGCAATGGAATAATTTCTGAAACCCTAGTCATCAAACATGTTCATATTTTCTGAATATCTTCCAATATCATAAAAAATATGCATGAAGTCTTAGTCCGGATCAATCAAATCTCACTTAAAAAGGACTCGGGTAATAAATTGGGATATATCCCCCAAACCTGTTGAATTATGCCCTTGACAGAGTACCACCCAGCTATATGCTGGATGAGCCAAAAGCCTTGCTTGGCTGTTGAACGTAATTTAAGATAATGGCAAAATTTACAATTTAAAATACAGGTCAGTGACCAAAAGAGAACAGTGAAGATACTCCAATACCACATCAGCATCTTAGTATTACACAGATCTTGTTCTTCTATAAACTCTGAAATAATTTTGCACTAAGGAAAAAGTATTGCATTCAAAACACAATTCTGAGTTTCTTCTGAAAGAAAAAAAAACACCTTACCATTTAAACTACCATTTAATAGAGATTTTATAAAAATTACATCCAGGATAAAAAGCTGCCTTGTAATACCAGAGAAAGCATGCTAATATCCACTTTTAAAACAGTAGCAATGCAGAATAAACACACAAGCCTTCAAATGAGCTACAATTTAAATAATCAATTGAACACTTCAGGGCTTGTGACACCCACTCCAGGTGACACCCCAGTAGAAGGAATAGAAACTGTCCGGTACTTGGGAAACTGGTTAGGATGCAAATGTACTTCTACCTTACAGGAAGCACCAATCATACTTTCTTATGCATGTAGCCCTATCACCATTTTTGGAATTTATTTCTATGTTAAAATGGAACCCATTGCCTGTTTCATTTACAGGAAGTCCTTGCTTAGTGACTGTCCCAGCAACAACTATCCGCAGTTACAATTGGGGTGAAAAAGTAACAATCTGCAGTTCTGAAAAACAAAGGAAAGCTGAAGATCATAAACCCAATCCCATTCAGTGACCACTTAACCACCTTGCTGTTGGTCCTGGCTGTGGTTGCTAAAAAAGGACAACCTATATTAGATGAGACACATAGACAGAAATAAATATGGTCTATAATTAGTAGCAAATTCCATCATGAACCTTTCCTGAAAAATTTGAAACAATATTTAATATTCCTTTAGTTTACTCAATGGTCTGTAAAATTGTACATGAATTTGACTTCCACACTGGCTCAAATGAAGATTGCAGCAGCTAAAAATCTAACTGGACTGCAGTATAAGTAAATGTTACTTAGAATGCATGGCTATCCTTATATTCTTTATAATCTGACATGAATACAATTTTAGAGCAATGCAGTATAATCCCACCCTGGCTGCAGTGGCTCACGCCAAGAGCTGTAGTCATTAGATAATGAGCTGTAGCATAATTATGACTGCACCCAGAGATGCATTGCTTAATGGGATTAAGGGAAGGAAAATGGGCCTTAACTCACAAGCGGTTCAGCCAATCAGCTACCACAGCCAATCCCCAATATTAAGACAGCCACAATTCAGAACGTTAGCTAGGCAAAGTATGCACATTTAGGGTGTGTGTGTGTGTGTCCGCTGCGTCTTTCCAGGACTCCAGTTCCATGGAAAGCATTTGCTTTATTGGTTTTTTCTGCTTTGTTTAAACTTTAGCACAGTTTGAGTCTCAAAAAGACTTACTTTAAAAGGTGGCAAGATCATCAGCAAATGCACTTTGATCAGACTACAAGCAACTCTAACACTGTTATAATTCTGACCTACTTCAAACCAAAATATGAGATGGAAATGAATGATGTTGACAAGCTACACGGGGAAATTTTTGAAGACACAGTGGGGAAAATCTTTACTTTCTGAAGAAAAGGCAGAAACCAGTGAAGTTGGTATAGAGAGTTTATTGAAGTGCTTTATGTTTGGATGTTGCTCTTAGCAGTGAATGCCATATAATATACCAGAATACCAATTAACGCTGCCAATACCTCAGTGGAGACCCATGGTCCGCTCCAGGCACCCTGCAAATGGAAGGTGGAAAGAATAAAAACATATTGAATGAGCAGCATGATTAAAAGGAAAGAATAAGAAATGGTGGAACTAAATTTTCTTGGTACTGTACCATGATTTTCAACTCATTTGGGCTACAAGGAACTAAACTGAAGCAGCAGAGAGCTGAGTTGTATCAGGACATGCCACTTAAACATAATATGGCCTGCCTGCAGTATGAGAAACCCCAATCAAGTAATAAAACTGGCCTAAATTTGAGGATTAATTAAGTAGATCAACCCTGCAATTGCACCATTTTTCTATTTTCTTCATTTTCTCCATTACTTAGCAAAACAAAGGACCACAAAGGAACCTACCGATACTCAGCAGGGTAAAGTTTAAAAGAATAGTAAAGCTGAAGCCCCAAATGCAGCCTACTAGAGAAAACCACTGAACCTTCTGGGCAGGTCTAGCATATATGCTTGCAGTATACACATCTGGGAGAAACTTTTCAACTTCACTCGTTTGCTATGAAATGTCTGATGCATGAGTGGCCCATTATGGCAGCCATTTTATATACAGATAGAATAATCTCTGGCAGCCATTTTGTGCTTGGTAATATAGAAAGCTTTTTTATATTGTTTGTGTCTTTTCTATGACACAGCAAAATCTCAATTCTGAATCCAACCTTCTTAGACATTTTAAGAAGCTGGACTTCTGGGAACATGCACCAAATGATACATCCTTTCCCTACCTACCTACCCCATTAACTGTAGCTATCCCTAGACTCCCTGCTAAACTAAAAATAATATATTACGTTTTCATTATGAACTGGCCTTTTATATCTTTTACATCACATTCCCTCCATTTTAATAGCATACATAGTTTTTATCGCATCTATCTCTGGATCAAATCCTCCTCCTTGGGAATTGGGAGCGTTATAACTCTTTGCAGCATGTTGCAATTGGACATTTTTGCCTCAAACCAGACGTAAACACCAGCTTTTGGCAAAAATATGGTCAATTGTGATCATGTGGCTATTTGACACTGCAAATGCAGACTTGTTGCTGAGCACCAAAAAAGTAATGTCACCATGGCCATGGGACAGGCAGCTGTTGAAACTTTGTAACCGGATCATAAATAAGCTAAGGGACTGGTCCTAAATAGAAATAGTTGATTAACTAACTAAAGAAACCATCATAGAATACACAAACTGCAATCAGAAAGTAGCATCTGCTGTAAATGGCTGGTTTATTCAATTGTGGTAGTACTGAATGTCTGACTTGGTTGCATTGGCCACCTATTATAGTAGCTCCATAGCCACGGAAGCTGCACTCACCCGATGATCCACACTGACTGTAAAAAGGGGTTTGATCTCTGAGACATCCTCATTGTTGCGCTGAGCCTAAGATGGAGGGAAGAGAATTAACAGCTGACTTAAGGCTTTGATTGATTAACCAAAGGCCCATGATGTAATTTCCTGATAGCAACATTGTCTACTTACAATGGAGACACTACATGAATACAATTAGCAGAGGAAAGCATGGTAGACAATACATCTAGCAGTGAAACAGAATACAAGGACTGTGTTTTCAGTTCAGTGTCAAAGTAGGTGAGTTGGTTCTTAAATTTTAATTTCCATGGGCCATCTGATCAAGAAAGATGCCCTCAGTCTCAGTTCCGAGTGTGTATAGGCATGCCATGGTATATCATTAATAAAGGAAATATTTATATTTTTACATAGAACCATGTCATTTTTTCCCATATAACAGAAAGCATTTTGAGATTACAAGTAGTCCTCAATTTACAACAGTTCCATTTAGTGATTGTTCAAAGTTACAACAGCAGTTACACACTTACAACTATGGCAGCATCCCTGTGATTACACGATCAAAATTCAGACATTTGGCAACTGATTCATATTTATGACAGGTGCACTCTCCTGGGGCCATGTGACCACCTTTTGTGACTTTCGGACAAGCAGAGTTAATGGGGAAGCCAGTCACTTAATAACTGAGTTACTAAGTTAACAGTTGTAGTGATTCACTTAAAAACCATGGCAAGAACAGTCGTAGAATGGGGCAAAATTCACTGAAATGTCTTGCTTAATAACATCGTAGTCATAAGTCAGACTACCTGTAATTCATGGGGCTTCCGGCGGCTGAAAAAAAGTCAAGCTACCAACTTTAATAGTAAAATGTAAACATTTGCTTCCCCTATTCCTATACTGATCACAAATCTGCACATAGTCTACAAAATTTACTTGTATCTTTTCCTTCCATCCATCAGTGCAATCTCACCTTGCGCAAGATACTATAGGACTCCTCATCAAAAAACTTCACCTCGTAGGTGCCCGAGTGAGCCAGCTTATGTTCCATGCTCCAGGAAACCTGTCCTCCCCCCCAAAAAAAGATACAGGATCAGCCACACTATTTTTGGTAGTACAGGTATATAAACAAACGCACACCCAAAGACATTAACAGAGATGTACCACTCACTTCAGTAGCCAGGGCTATAATAAACCAAACTAGCCAATGGTTCGGAATGGCAATTTCTTTTAGCATGGAGAGAAGGAGGGACTCACAGAATCAGACCCACCACAAAACTAGGGCCATGCATTTATGGCACAAAACCACTGCCTTTCTTTTTCAAAGCTATATGGTTTAAGGATTGACAACTTATTCTTTTATCACTAATCTCAAATGCTGTTAATCCTATTAAAGACTAACCATTGTTATGTTACTTATTTAATCAAACTTCCAAGTTGCTTCCAACACAGACAAAACCCAATTTTGCCTACAATTTGCTTATATGTTGCAGGATTTTCATATCACAATCCTTTTAGGTTGTAAGATATTTCATATTTTAAAACCAAACCGTGAACCAGATTTTGTATATGACAATTTCTTCTGTTTATATTTTTAATAATGAAACCAAGACTGCAAACCAAGGCAGAATTTTAATAACTTCACTAATTCCACAAAAATTGAATTTAAGTATTTTGCAAAATCTTAGATATTGACTAGCAGGAATCATGTTTATTCTTACCTGATAGCGACCAACATCCTGACCCCGTGTAACAGGGAATTGCTTGCCATTGACATCTGCATAGAGGGCCACATTCTACGGGAAAAAAAATATGATGGGTATCAGAGTAACAGAAATCCATATAATCTCTCATCTTGAAATCTTAAATGTCTATAAGAGGACCCTGAAATAACAGGAAAGACAGATCTCATTCCTTGCCATCAGATCAATGCCAGCATGCCCTCCAAGCTTCCTTCCCTTGAATACAAAATCCAGTGGAGAAGGGACTCAAGTTTTTCTAGCAATAATGGCTACTTTTCTTTTTTGTTTTGAAATGTACCACCCACATCAGTAGCTAGGACTACAGTAAATCAGACCAGCCAATGGTTCGGGGAGACAAGTTTTTCTGGCATGGAGTCCACTATGGGAAGTCCATGGAAAGGGACCTACCATAAATCCAAAAGCCATGCACGTAATGGGACAGATTCACTGTCCTATCATAATCATTTATAACACAATTTACTCTATCTGTGGCAAATTTTTGAGATTGTTTTTCTTTTAAAATGTAAAAAAAACCCAAACCCATTCAGGCACTTACTTGTGCTCCATTTTTACAGGTGAGGGAGATCTCAACAACAAAGACGGTTTCCGAAGAAATAACAGCGTCTGAGGTAGTATAATAGGACGGGGAGATAACTGGTTCTGTGCATGTTTCACCTGCCAGGAAAGAAAAATGATTTTATCGAAAGATTTAGAGCTTGAAGTAGAAAGGTGGGCCATTCAATGAGACCCTTAAGGAACTGAAGTCCTTAACTGAGCTTCGTGATCTCATACTGCATTCATGGGTAGTGTTTGAAATGATCAAATATGTTGAGCAGCGCATTAACAATAAAATCAACTTTTTAAAATCTATGCCTTCTACATAGTTCCTGCCTTCATTTTAACCTATCCTCTTGCCTGCTTAGACCCGAGATAAGTGAAAAAAAATTTTTTTGAATTTTTCTAATCAAGTAATTTTACAGCACAGTATGTACCTCAGCGTGGCATCTCCTACCCTTAACGAACCCCCACACCCCAGATATCTACCATTTATATTTATATATTTATAGTTACAATCCCCGGTATGCCCAAATATGGGAGGAAGTCTGCTGCTTCCATTCTCTGTCCATCGGCTCATCACAAGAGACCATCCAGACAGAAACCCAATATTTTTAGTGTTGCCTTTGTTACATTTGTGTATTTACCTTTATTTATCAGCACAAATACACACACACACACACACATATATGTGTGTGTATATGTATATATGCACATACATACACATACATATACACACATACATACATACATACATACGGTACATATACACATACATATACATACATACATATATACACATACATGTACATACATATACATACGTACATACATATACATACGTACATACATATACATACGTACATACATATACATACATTTATGGAGAGGGAGGGAGGGAGGGAGAGGGAGAGAGAGAGAGAGAGAGAGACTACAAACTCCATAATCCCAAATTATTTAGGACTATCTGCGAATTATATTCATTATATTCACGGGGGGAGGGGCAAAATGAAACTGGGCTGAGGAAACTGCCTGAAACTAGGTGAAGAAATCTTCGGGAGAGAAGAAAGAAATGCGGGCCACACGAG